TATGAATTTGGTTTTGATCTTTTTATTCCAATGAGGTGTGGCAACTTAGACCGATGCATATATATGTGCCTGATCCTACGTTGTAGCTGATTGACTGACTAACGATTAACCCTGTTATAAAGTCCCAATCTAGGGTGAAATAGCCGTTCAGTGTGTTTGTATTTTTAAGAGTTATCTAACTTAAATTGGTTCATGATTTCAATAGAGATAATAAGTTCATAGAAGAAAAATATTTTCTAAACCACTAGATATCTAACAGATGGGTTTTAAGCTCTCTAGTTTCTTTCTAATAACACCAACATATATATATTAAAGAACATAAAAGTCATTTATATATCCGTATATAAGGTGATTGCCTTATTGATAAACCAAGGTATGTTATTTGGATAGGCTTGTATTATGAGTTATTTTGTTACTAAACTATTATGTTAGAGTTATTAGTTGTCTAAGCCAAAAGATACATGTAAAACGTATGATCAATAGTAATGTTAGTTTAAAGTACAATATTTTTCATAGAATACAATCTGTAATAGATATATGCCTTGTAAGATTGGATGTTCATTGTTGAGTAATCTTAGATTTAAAAACAACAAACATCAGAAATGATGATAAAGTTCAGGTTCTAGAGAGTTAAGTGTCATAGTTCTATTCTTCAAAAGTATATTGAAACTTAATCATTAGAATTAAGCTTAGTAACTATTGTTATTAGGTAAAGATGTAATGATATGCAATAGTGAATTATACATTCAATTGTTAGATGTGTTATAACTTGTGGGTTTGTTCCCCTATCAATGTATAACGTAATGATACCACCAATTAGAGAACAGTGAATTATCGACTGGACCAATGACGCATAAAACCTCTACGAGCAGTCTACAGTCCTTAGCGATCCAAATTCCTGTCCAGAATATCAATCTCAACCTCTGTGATATGAATTATGTATTTCAAACATACCGGGTTTATATACAAACCAAACAGACGACATCATACCATAAAATAGAAATACACATTTGTAAAAGATTTAACCGAAAGTGGTTGTGAATGTGGGAGACTGTAATTAATAAACTGGGCATAATTCAAGAATGGTAAATCGTGTAATAATAGTTTATAAGTCAAAATAAAGCTTATAATAAGAGGAACATGAATATGAATAGTTTAGTTACTTGACAATTACACAATACAAAATATATGTATAGTATTAGTCCAGAAATAGATTCTAACAGTTACCATTCATTATTCTCATCGGGATACAACAAGAAGTAAATTATTATAGACCTTAATGATAAGATCATGGATTGGATATTAATTTAACTATGATTCAGTCTTATATAACAATCAACAAATGATGGGTATCCATATCAAGTTTGGATTTGATAGTTTCAAATAAATTGAGTATTTTATTTATTTAAACACATAAACATTGGTACAAGGAGTCACCAAATAGATATTCGCCACATAAATCATTCGATTTGTGTGAAGGCTGGAATACTGCCCATGTGCCCAAACCGAAGCAGGTGGTATTTTTAGGGGACCACACCCCGAGCCTTTGACCTAAAGATCTAACCCACAAGACAGTGGAGAAACGTAAGGCGATGTAGTCTCATGGTAGTCAGTGACCAACAGTAGGTTCATACGCCATGTGTTCCTTCAGGATACTGGAGTCTTATGTGCATCAGTGGTTTTGAATCAAGGTTTTCCAACTCTTCTAGGTGCACTTTCCGTGTCCACGATAATAAATATTGTCTTTTCAACGTTATATCCCAATTTATCTGCTCATGTAGAGCTAGGTATATAGGTCGTTCGATGCGTACTTTATCTAAAATAATTTAAGAACATTATCCAACGAAGAGGAGGAAACGGATCAATAACAATTTTAATAATCGAACACTTTATGAACACAGGTCACTCAATCACGATGAACTCTGAGTTCAAATTCATCTACAAGGTAAGTAGAAGTCTTCCAATGACAATTAGATTGCATCTCTTTAGCATTGCCGAAGCAATAGCCATACATCTGAGAAAGCCAAAATTGTGTGTGCAAAAAAGATTGGTACAACCTCTTCTTCTACCATGGTCTTAATGTCGTATAATTTTTTCGAAATTTTTTTCTTCATACTCTTCTTCTATCAAAGCCGTTTGTTTCCCCCTCCATGTTTCCTTTAAATCTTCTACCCTCAACTGGTTTATTTCTGTTTCGACGATCCTCCTGATTACATCTATTCTCAATTTCAACGTTTTATCTTATCATTCTAAGCTATCCTGTTTCCATGATTATTTCCCTATCTATCTTTTGATGAATATTTAAGCGACTAATAATGAAATGTTCATTAGGTTCGAATTCACTTGGTATTGTTTGTTTGAATCTTCCCGTTAATGTTTACGACTGCAATTGGTCAGTCTCTTTTTTTGGCATATGTGTATACTGTGAGTACTGCCTAGATATAGCCTTAATTCATAAGCATTATATGCTAAGATAGATAGTGGTTAGCAGTGGAATCTAGGACACGCATTTCGTCCTGTTTGAGACTCGTTAGCTGGATGTACCTGCATTTCGGAGTTGATATTCCCCTGGGTTTTCCTTGTTTAAAATTTTTTAATGACTTTGTTTATTTTACCTCACTGTCACCATGTTTAACATAAGTTTATTATCATTATTATTGTAATTATTATCATTCTAAAAACAGAAGTATGTATGTTTGTGATTTTACAGCTTTGAAAGTGAATTCACCGAAAAGAGAACTCTTCGGTAAACTAATCTTTCTTATTTAATTTCTTAATGAGTGTATTCCGTTTACTGTATCCTAATGGATAAAAATATTGTATTTCTAACGATGTTTCGTGACTTAATATAATCCACTTTTTCAGAGTATTATTGTATTATTTAAACTTGTGTTAATTGAATTCGGTTATATATTTACTCTGAAGAAGTAATTTATATTTAGTCACGAAACATCAAAAATACAATTTCTTTATTCATTCGGGTTAATGTAACAAAAAGATTATCAATAAATGGATCTTTAACATGTACGTCTTAAGATAATTATAAAGTTTCTATGGTAAAGTTCTATTTTTCATCCTTATGTTCTATGCTTGTGACTTTTTGTTTTATCAGTATAGGGTTGTGGAGATTGTTAAGTTATTGATTGAGATCATGAACCGATTGATGTTAGACCACCACTGAAAACTTGGAAGCACTGAATGGCCATTTCATTCTATTGCGGAACTCCTCAGCAGTGTGTATGCACGATCCCGCTCGCGTGATATTGAAGTTAAGAGTTCACGTGCGCGACTGAAAGCTCTGGGTTCGAATCCCGCAAGTGGGATCGTAAATGCGTACTGTTGAGGAATCTCATAATAAGACGAAATAGCCTGTCCAGTATTTCCAGGTTTACTATGGTTGTCTAATATCAATCGGTTCATGATCTCAATCAAAAACATTTTGTTTTGTCACATTAGGATCACTATAGGATATTGTTAGAAAATCGTTAGTTTATGTTTTGTACAGTTTAATTTCCATTAGAAAGGAAAAAGATTTTCTCTCATCTGCATGTTTCTCTACAATTGTAAACTGATACTACACAGAAATTGGTTTATTGCAGCAGTGTTTTTTTAAAAAAGAAAAGTCGTGAAATGTTATAATAATGCTACAATATACCTTACCACTTGGAATAATCGGAAGTAATGGAATTTGAGACATGCGGTGCGTTTTGTTTAAGAATATTTGACAGGATATACTTGTATCTTAGTGCTGACGTAATATAAGCAACGTTTAGTGACCATAATATTTCCTAGTATATGATTATATAACCTAATTGTCAACAAAGACTGATCAAATACTGTGGTGAATATAAACGATGGGATATTACCAATCTTTATTAATATTTTATACCCATTGAAGAATTTAGTGCACATATAAACTCAAAAGCTTAATGAGCAAAGCGTTGGCATCTGGATAAACTTCATTGAGTTTCAATTTCATTATGCCTATAAACACTATAAACACATGTACATCTAGTTGATAAGTCAGGATATGCATACTTGATTCCAACCAAAATACACCACACACAAAAAAACAACTTGTCACTGAACTCCAATATTAAGTCATCTAATCAGATTCCCATAATCCAGGAAAGAATAATCAACTTCAATTCTGAATAACACAAAAATAAAAAAAAGTTTACAAAATCCACTAGATATTGTTTACATGAATCTTCTCACTGTGATGTTTACAACTTCAATCGATCAATCTTTATCTCTTATTGACATATGTGCATACTGTGCGTATTAACTTGATATGACTTTAATTCACAAGCATTATAAGCAAAAATAGATAACAGGTTAACAATGGAATATAGAATGTTCGTTTCGTCCTATTTAGGACTCATGTTGGAGACGATAGATCCCCAAAACTCATATTTTGTAATTTTATCTTATCGATTAAATGTTTAAATATTTGAATGACAGTCAATTGATGAACTTATCGATTAAAAATGATTAAATAGAAGTCAATTGATGAAATTATTGATTGAATATTTGAATGGCTATCGACTGATGAACTTATTGATTAATGTTTAAAAACATTTTACCATGACAATATCGATTATAAATATTTGTATAAATACGCTTGACTTATGTGCCTGATTGACCTGACTTGACCTGACTTAGTATCTGCTGTTTGCCTGTAGAATACACTTTCTACGCCCTACTCAGAATTCTTGATGGAGTTAGCTGAGTCGGGGACAACGGACCAGAATAGCCTAGCGAGATTCCGAATCCCTTGATTCGATCGATAAGTCACTTCCCTCTAATCGGCAGCCCTTTTGAGTTATAACAACTCATCAATTAAATGTTCACTCTGTGACTCAAACTCAGTACTATTCGCTTCAAACACCACATAGCTACCCAAAATCCTCAACCCTTATTGACTGATATAGCAAAATATGGAGTATGCATTTATGTATATATATTCAATATTACATACAATATTATATACAACTTACCACAATTTTGACAATGATATGCATAAATTTTCTTTTCCATATATTCAGTATATTCTGCTATTTCACTAATAGGTTCATAATAATTCAATAGTTTACTATTATTCTTTAAAAAAAATATATATTTGGCATTAGAATAAAATACTGGTAAACATCCTATACCATTTCCATGATGATGATTATCTAATATATATACTGGACCAATAATAACTTCATTCCCAATCGGATAATTAGCTTTATAGATAGTTTTAACTAATACAGTTATATTGAAGTAGATATTACTATTATTAGTAGTAGTAGTATTGATAGTAGTACTAGTCATTATATGATTAGAATATGATGAATGAATTTGTTTATATTTCTCATATGTATCATGATATGTTAAACGTCCCGCTATAATTACATCGGATTGTTTAATTAATTCTTCAATCTTATTATTATTAAATAGAATTTGATGACATGAATCTTTTGAATGGATCACATAATCATCATGATGAGAATAATAATAATGATTGAAATTTCTGATGTTTTTTTGTATTTTTCCATAATCAATACATTGATTTATAGGAATGATAATCAAACTATAGAATATGAAGAATATCATATACATGGATACTATATGTAATACGATTGAAATAATAATGATGATGATGATGATTACATAATAATGAGAACTTTGGATAATCAGTGAATAATATAGTGTAATGAATATGTAAATTGAACAGTTATATTGTTATTATTATTCATTATATTGGTTACGTTCTTTGTAATATTCATATAATCATATCATTGTACATACTCATATGTATTTGAGGGGTACTTGAATACATATGTATGTATAGTATGATGAACGTGATCAGAAGAAAAGAGAGCAAAAAAAAGAACCGATATAAATGATTATGATTGGATAATTATATTCTATGGTACTTTGGTTGTTAATCTTATTGTCATAAGAGTTAATAGTATCTTTCATGTTTTTTTTATTTATTATATTAAATATTGATGTATCAGAAGGGGTTTTTGTGGATATGATAGTAATTTTTTTAATAGTTGAGATTATGAGTTAATTGAAGCTAGACCTCTATGAAAAAGATGTAAACATTGGATGGCTGATTCGTCCTATTGTGGGACTCTTCAACAGTACGCATCTACGATTTCGCCTTGAGAGACTCGAACCCATGACCTGTCAGTCTCGCGCGCGAACGCTTAACCTCTGGACCACTGAGCCGGCCGGCATCAAATAGTGTAAATGTGTAACTGGGTTCGTGAGGTGAGATCGTGGATGCGCACTTCTGAAGAGTCTCATACTAGAACGAAACGTTAGTCCAGTGCTTCCAGGTTTCAGTGGTGGTATAACATTGATCGGTTCATAATCTCGCTATCCCATTCTGATTGGTAATACACTAAATCACATAAGCTTTAAATTATATTAGAAAGAAGAATTCATATCGTTTGAAGGACTATTTTCTTAGTACAAGTAACCACCTCGCAAGATCCGAACCCAGGACCTATAGGTCTCGCGCGCGAACGCTTAACCTATAAACCACTAAGCCGGCCACTATCCAATAGTGTTAATCTCTAATTTCAACTAATCCACATGACTGAGCGACACATCCACCATTGTCTTCAGTGATTTACTATCTCACAACTGATCCGGTTGAACTCCACTAGTCATTGCTTCTCATTAGAACTTCAGGAAATACCTCTTGATATCAGTCACTAGTGAGTATATAGTCTAGCTTCAATTGACTCATGGTCTCAACTATTTAAATATTGATCTGTTTGAATAACTTAATTCACTGAAAATGAAGTTATTCTTTTTTTTCTAGGACTCGTCAGTTGGATGTACCTGCATTTCAGAGTTGATGTACACTCTGGTACTTGAACCTAGTACTGTTCGCTTCAAACGCCATCGCGTTATCAATTTAGGTTGACTATTTCCAAATTAAGCAGGCAGATGTTCTAGAAGAAAGTATTAGGAAATGAATGAGGTCACATTGAAATGAATGAGAACACGGGGGAGATAACCAATATCTTTTAATACAAAATTCCAGAGTATTTTGATAAAATATGAGAATTATCCATTAAATAATTCATCTGTAAATTTCCACTATTTGTCCTTCACATTCTGTATGTCTATTCCGATTCCCAATTCTTTTCTAACTGCGTTTCTCTTTCTTTGAGTTGACCTTCATAGTCTTCTGCTGCCAGGCTTTGCATTCCCGATTGACGTTACACACTACTTGTGTCGACAAACATAAGTAGTATACACTACAATATTACACAAGTTGATTGACAAAGAAAAAAATAAGTAAAACTCATTCAAGAAAGAGCAAAATTGATTTTTACTTCAGAACATGAAGTAAGATGTTATAGACTGAATTATCAAAAAATTAGATCGTAAATGTAATACAAAACGGTGAGACTATAGTTTATAAACGACCTTAGAGCAACCTTAAAGGACTGAGAATGTCTGCCTACTTATTAGGGCTAGTAGGGGTTATAAACCAGTGTGAGAAATTAGAATTATGATTCATGGCTGGTGGTTAGGGTTGGGGATTAGACTTGTAGTTTTCATCACGAACTGACATCAGCTAAAATGCCAAGATTCTATTTAGCTAAATGAATGAATGAAATTCTCACCAAAATTCAAGACTGATTGGTTCGTTCATAAATTACAGTCTCGATAAGCATTCTAGTTCAGATGGATTATTCGTTTGTGTTGTATTCTTTAAGCTGGATATTATGTCAAGACTATCAAATGGAATACAATGATAAGAAAAGCCGGCATAGACTCTTGAGATAATCATTCACTAATATGGTTGTCAGAAAAAGGGTAAATTAACACACAATTCCACATGTAATAAACGCTGATGAAGATATCCAAGACGCTAAAGAAAGCTTTACTGTTAAACCATCTAGTTTACACAACTAAAATGAATGTAACTATTGATTGTTCCTTTCCAATGAAAATATAATCAAAATCTAATATTCAGATGTCCAAAGCAAGTTTATATTTTATGGTTTAAAACATTTGCGCATTGAGTAAATGCTATTCACTGTAACATTTCACGTGAACTCTATTCGGTACGTGTTTTTACAATAACTCTATATAATAATCATACTTACTTAAGCCTGTTACCCTTCATAGAGGAGTATAGGCCGCTCACCAGCACTCTCCATCCCACTCTGTCACGGGTCCTCCTTTCTAGTTCTATTCAATTGTTATTCATTCTTCTCATTCATGTCTCCATTTCTCGACGTAATGTGTTCTTTGGTCTTCCTCTCCTCCTTTGGCCTTCGGGATTTCATGTAAGGGCTTGCCTTACGATGCAGTTGGGTGATTTCCTCACTATATGTCCTATCCACTTTCAGTACTTTTTCCTGATTTCTTCCTCCACTGGAATCTGATTTGTTCTCTCCCACAGTAGGTTGTTTCTGACCAATGGATCCGAAGTATTTTGCATAGACAACTGTTAATAAACACTTGTATCTTGTGGATGATAGCTTTCGTAGTTACCTAGGTTATAGTTATTTTAAAATATCAGCATCATGACATACGATTAAGTTATTGAAAATATGTTATATGTAAAGATAATTAGCAGTATTCGAATTAAGGTACTGATTAAGAATTCCTGAAATGATGCAATTTCAGGCAGTTAGAACTAGATAAACACAACTGGACGTAATATGTATTTGGAATTCGTAACAAGTTCTCAATCAAGTACAAAAAAATCATCATTCTGTGCACATACAACGCATTTGAACAATAAACTTTCTTCTATTTCTTTCAATATGGATTCTCTCATACGTAAATATGAACTGGTAGGTTGAATAGTAGAGAACATGAAGTGTAAGACTGTCCTCTTATGACTTTGTTGATAAAAATATTTTATATAATATCAAGAAACTAGTTTGACAGTTAGGACATCAGGAGAGTTCTATTGTGCGGAGCTGAAATGTAGAAAACTACCACGACTATTATCAAAAAAAATACAGGTATTTTCAAACAGCTGTCTATGTTAAATACTCAGTGTCCATTGGTTGAAAAGCATCAACAACAACCTACTGTGACAGAGAACAAATCAGACTCTAGGTGAAAAGTCAATTAGAAAAAGATGTCGTAAGTGGTTAGGAAACATATTGAGGAAATCACCAAACTGCCTAACGAGGCAAGCCTTAACTTGGAATCTTGATGGCAAAAAAGGAATACCAAAGAACATATTGATTTGGGAATTTGAAGTATACATTGAAAGAATGAGTAGCACTTAAAAACAAATAGAGAGGACAGCTAAGGTTGGAGAATCCTAGACTGCCAACTATCCTCCACAAAGGGTGACATTAAGTATGTATTTCTCAATAATTAAGATAGAGACTAAACATTGCTTCTTTATTCTATAATAAACCAGTCCAGTCCAACAACACCAGAAAAAAACTCATGAAGCTTTCTTGTTACATTTGGGCATCAAGAAGACAAAGACTAACCTTTGACAGTAAATCATTTACTGTTTCAACAAAGTATGATATTCTTTTACAAATGATTGAAATGTAAAGTCTCTAGTTGATCACAAATAGCATAAGATAAGACAAAATTATAAATAATAAAAGAGTAAAGATCATTGAGATCATGTTTTACCTTCATTAATCATGAGTATCAGAGTACAATAAGCCTATATCGATTTCTCTATGTTTAGTTCCTACTAGTTTGAATAACACTTCAACACTTGTTAATTATATATGCAAAGCTTAAACCATAGATTTTGAAGGTGAATGTTTGTGACTGAATTTTTAATTATGTTTGTACATTTCGAAATATTGAATAACTTGTGACCTCTCGAAATATTCAGTGAGATATTCTAATTTAAGTTATCACTTTGCGTCTATATGAAAATTTCAATAGTTTAAATCATGAGTTATTTGAAGCTAGACTACCATGGAGAATCTGGAAGCACTGAATGGCCGTTTCATCCTATTGTGTGACTCCTCAGCAGCGCACATTCATGATCCCGCCCCACGCGAGATTCGAACCCAGAGCCTGTCAGTCTCGCGCTCGAGAGCTTAATCATAATGCCATTGAGCTGGCCGGCATCCAATGGCGCTAATGTCTAACTATAACCAATCCACGAAATTACTGAGGAGTCCCATACTAGGACGAAACGTCCGTCCAGTGCTTTCAGGTTTTCCACGGTGGTCTAGCTCCAACTGACTCATGATTTCAACTATTAAAATTACTAAAACCTCCACAAAACCATATCTGATATATGAAAACTGCAAAAGTATACTGTTTAGATGAAAATTCTGATGTACAATTGTTTTCAAATGTTCCTGGAGTTTTACTTGAAGAAACCCCTTAGAAACTGTGATGACAATTTTTAAGTGAGTATTTTCAAAATGGCTGGTTAATTGTTTAATTCTTTAACAGGAATATCTAGATAATACTATAACAATGATGTTAGAGAACTAAAGATAGACAAGAATTTCTGACCTAGGTCATGTGCTAGTTGGTACAACCTATCAAAAAATACCCGTAATGTTTGAGGAACTAAGAAGAGACTATAAATAACGGATGATCTCTGGGAGATACAAAAGTGGTCTTGAAAAGCTTGACTACTTACAAGAGTCATCCTTAAGTTCTACATTACTGATAAAAATCAGAGTTAAGCTTCTCCTCACGAAATGATATTAGCTATTATTCCAAAAATCTATTTATCCAAATGACTGAATGAATTTAGCCTCGAATTCATGCTAAAGTCTTTATGTTAAATCCAATTTATTCTTCCATATGTTATAGTTCAAACTACAGTTTTATATTCTGAGACGTTATTAGTGAATTGTCCAGAGCGCA